CCTGTGCTTGCTCTTCCAGCTGTTGAACCCCTTCTGTCACCTTCATAATCCATTCCCTCATCGTTTCCCCTCATTACAAAATTTCTTGGAGGGGGGAAAAGACATAAAACAATACAAGTAACCAACTGGGGTTTTGCCACACGTCTCCAGTTTTGTCTTGCATCCATGATGTGCATTTGTGCCAAGGCTGGCTTCTGTTTTTGCATGGAACACGATGGACTGTGAGTCTGGATTTGCATGGGATATCTAGGCAAGGTTATAGATGAAAGCTGAAGAGATTTGTTTGCAACCTACAGCAACCCATATATATATATATTTTATTCTCTAGCAATGCTTTAGAAAGCTCTCAGACCCAACTACCTTCACAGCTTTGTTTATTTACCCTAGTTTGGGTCGGAAGGGACCTTTTGTGTTTAAACAACCCCCTAGAAAAGGGGCTTCAAGTAGCTCCTTGCAGGTTTGGCACACCCCTGCTGGAGCAGTGTCCTGTTCTGCTTGCAGGCTGTCTCCCAACACGATGGTGACACCCCACAAGAAGAGCATGCTGGGAAATGGCAACTATGATGTCAACGTGATCATGGCAGCCCTTCAGACCAAAGGCTACGAGGCAGTTTGGTGGGACAAGCGCAGGTAGGGAGAGCCCTGGAAATCTGGAGATGGCTGCTGCTGGGGGAGAAAAAGGAGATTAAATAAGTGCCAGAGTAGAATCTTACTGCTGCCTTGTGCTCTGTGCTCCTCCAGGGATGTTAATGTCATTGCCCTGTCCAACGTGATGGGCTTCATCATGAATCTGCCCTCCAGCCTTTGCTGGGGACCCTTGAAGCTCCCCCTCAAGCGACAGCACTGGATCTGCGTCCGGGAGGTGGGAGGCACCTACTACAACCTGGACTCCAAACTCAAGGTGCCCGAATGGATTGGAGGTGAAAGTGAGCTCAGGTAGGACTTCCTCTTCCCCCTCAGTTCCTTCTCAGCTGGGGAACCTGTCCTTAAACAGTTAGCAACTCAAACATTGTTGGCGTTCAGTAGCAAAGATTTGAGAGTAATAAGGTTCTCCTGTCTTTGCTGGGGTTTGTGGCTCCTTTGCATAAAGCTAGGAAAATGTTTTTGGCAGTGGTAGATACTGTCAATACTGCTCCTGGCCAGAGCTCACTGTGCTCTTGAGGTCTTGGTGAAACGAATGTTGCCCTTCTCTAAACTTCTGAGGTGAAGTCACACAGGTCTGGAACTCCTGTGCAGAGCTTCTGGTGGAGTTCATCCTGGGTGTGCTGTTCTTCAGTGGTAAATAAGGGCTTCCTATGTAGGGAATTTTGGAAATATAGGCCAGAAGATAGGGAGAAAAATGCTGTTTTGACTTTTGTGGTTACTGAAGATAATCCAAGTTAGGTATTAGAAAAAATGAGTTTGTTTTTAAATCTATTTTTGCCACCTTGGAAAATTGGAAAGTGACATCTATAAAGACTTGTCTCTGCTGAGGTTAAGCTCGTGTCTATCTGATTTTGTGATCATTTTCTGGGCTGAGTTGTATTGAATCCAGTGGGGCAAGTTTAATATGATTTTTTTTTTTTGGACAGCAAATAACTGAAGACAGTGTGTAGGGGTTTCCTCCCACTGTCATGTTTGCATAGTTGCATTTAGTTGCTGAAGATGACAAAGTTTTACATTCCATAATGCTTATTTCTGTTTGGTTTTTTGTTGTGTTGTTTTGTTTTTTTTGTGGTAGGAAATTTTTGAAACACCAGCTGAGAGGAAAGAACTGTGAACTCCTGCTGGTGGTGCCAGAGGAGGTGGAAGCACATCAGAGCTGGAGAGCTGACGTGTGACCCAGACTCTGTCCTCCCACTAGGGCTCTTCCCCTTTACTGAGCTCCTGACTTCCTCAAACCTGGATAAGGGGTGCCCTGACTCTTCTAGTCTGGAACTTCTCTGTTAGGCTCCTCTCTTCCTTCTTTGGTGCAATAGGGCAGTGGTGGAGTAGGACTTTGGAAGCAGTGGGTGGGGAAGAATCGAGGGCAGAGGGGAGGAAACTGGAAGCCAATGACTTTAATTGCAAAGGCAGATGAGCTGTGTGCCCTTCAGCTAGCCAGAAGGCATCAGGCTCTCTAAAACTGCTGGCTGGAAGCCTCTGGCCTCTCTTTCTCCACATGGTTCAAGGCTGCCTGTGGTGGGACACTGCTCCTTCCAGGAGCTGAGCGTGTGCTGCTGCCTCTTTACAGGTCTCTCCCTCCAAAACAAGTCATCATGAAGATGTTCACAGTCCCCAGGATGCTTTTAAACACTAGGAATGGTACGGTGCTCAGCACAACCCTCTGCTTCTTGGAGATGGCTTGTGCCAGGAGTGAGAAAATGATAATAAAACCAGTGTCACCTTGCCAGAAATCCTGCAGGTAGCTGGAGGGTTCTTCCCCAGTGTCTCCAGGGCTTTGTGTGTGCAGGGAGGAGTTCTTGGGCAGTGTGTGGCTAGTGAGGGTGATGTGGAAAGAGCAAGTGCAGGTTAATGGAGGAGTATTGAGTTTCTGGACTGGAGGGAGGCTGTAGTCTGCTTGGGTTTGGTTGGTTTGGGGTTTTTGTTGTTTTCAACATTCTTTTTGGTTTTCTGCACGGTCACCCAGTAGTTCAGGAGCTGCTCAGAGAGAGGAGTAAAACTGCAGGGGTTTGGAGAGAAATGAATTCCCTTTTCCTCTCTCCAGAAGTCTTGCCCACGGTTGTGAATGTCACGCAGCATGTCCCAGAAACGGGTAAAGTGACAAAGAAAAACTTGGCTGAGGAGGAAAGCCTTTCTGAGAGTCAGGGTTTGCCCTTTTTCTAGTTCCTGCCCAGTAACGTGGGAGATGCAGAGGGTCCCCCAGAGCCCCCAGGTGTTGGAAAGACCCTGGCCTGGCAGTTGAACCAACCTCTCCTCAGCGTTGGCCCACAAACATTCCGTTAATGGACAAATCACTTTTTCCTCCCCTCCCTTCTGTGGGGAAGGGTGACTGGACACAGAGACACTAAGAGGACTCTCCACCAGCTGTTTTCCCAGTCCCCTGGGCGAGCTGGAGCTCTGTCATGCCTTCCACAGCAGGAGGAAACCACGAGTTGGGAACAGGCTTCGTCAGGGAGGCTGAGCCTCCCTCCTTCAGTGGGATGTGCCAGTTAAACACCGACCCCTGGGCTGTGACAGAGCTCACAGGATCTCACTCCCTTGTGGGGAAGTCTCATTGCTGGTGTTTGAGCTTTGAAAGGAGGGGTTCTAACTACCTTCCCTCAGTGTTTTTTTCCTCAAGAGCTCTGCAAACGCATGATTGGGTGCTGGATGCCGAGAAACCACCAAAATCACCTTCCCCAGAGAGAAGAGAGGCCACGTGACACCAGGACAGTGCTGCCCACTGATCCCTGGACACCTGGCCAGCACCACTGCACAGTCTCTTTGAGCACAGCCTCCCCAAGTCGAGGGCAAATGGCTCTTTTAGGTTTTCAAGAGCCAGTGTTTCCACGAGTCCTATTTCGTAACACATTCCAACGACCGACACCAGCTGGCAGAGTTTTTAGATGCTTTTCCAGGCAGGATGCACAGCCTGCAGGCATCCTGCCCCTGACTTGAAGCCATTTCTTCAAGGGTCGGGTGGGGAGGGGAAATAAATCTCAACAGCAACGTTTTCTGTGCTGATTGAAGTCGCACTTTGGAAACAAAACCAACCCGTTTGCATGGAAACTGCAAGCCAACAGATCAGTGCACAATATGCAAAGATGTTTTAAAAGTTATTTTGGGGCTCTTTTCCTCCTTTTGCATGGGGGTGAGTGTGTGTGTGGAGGGGGACAAGGTGTGATCCAGCTGCTCAGGTAAAGTGTAGGATCACACACCCCCATGGGAGGTGAGGCCTGAGGGTGGGCACAGTCCCACCACTTGAGAGAGAGGAAACCCCTTTATTTGTTTTCTTGCTTGTCTGGGTTTTGTTAGAGCCTCGTCTTGGGTTTGTTTACAGAGATGTTATTTTGTTTAACCAAATACTAAAAATGGGAAAAAAAAAAAAAAACTTGTTTCCATATAAATGTCCTCTCACTTCTGTATGTTCAGCTGAATTGTTCTGTAACAAAGTATGTAAAGGAAAAATAAAATTTTTGGGGTTTTTTTTGGTTATAAACTGGCAAACTTTGTCTGTTAAGAACCTCAAAAGTCGGTCACAGGTGGAGTCACCCCCTCAGCCCTCCCTGAAGCCACTCAAAGCTTTCTCTGTCACCATAAGGTTGCAAAGCCATTTATCCCTTTCCCCCCAGCCACGCTCTCCAGACGTGACACTGGTGAGGGCTCTGAAAGAAGGGAGCCTCCCTGAAAGACCTCTATTAAAACCACACTGCTCAGGTTAGGTTTATTGAATATTTGATACAAAAAAATATGCAGCTGATATCAGAAGTTCCATGTTCTGAGGCAGAGGATGAGCATGTGACCACCTTTAACCCAGCCTGCTCCTCCCTCTGCTCTCACACAGAGTTACAGGGAAAGTATTTTTGCAGATGTGTCTTCTCAGGGAGCGTTTTCGACGGGGTGCAGCTGCCTGTACCCCTCCTCCTTTTGCTTGGCTGGGAAAGGGACTCTTCCTCTTCCTCCTCCTCCTCTTCCCGGCACCAGCGTCCCCTGGCTCAGCCTGGAAAGGACTGGATCGACCACTGCCTTCCGAGGCCTGCCCTGGGCCCCTGGGGTGAGGAGACTGGAAAAGGGACTCTCCCAGTTCAAGTCTGTAACTGGTTATGGTGTGCTGACTGGATGAAAGGAAAGACTCATGACTTCCATGGGGGAGGATGCAGAGAGGAGCTGTCATCAGGTCCAGAGAAGGGGGAAGCCTTCCCCCCCAGCCCCTCATCATGAACAGGTCAATGTCCCAAAGGAGAACCAAAAATAGAAACAAACGGAAGAAAATAAACCAACCAACCAACTGCCCTGACCCAACAAATCAACAGTTCAATGATGTACCATCGTTTCAAGGGCTTTCCCACATGATAGGAATCCAGCGTGGCTTCCACCAGTTAGATCTTCCCAGAGAGTGGAGGCAGAGCCCCTGGCATGCCCCCTGAGAGCCCCGTGTTGGGTCCAAGGAGGATCTGGAAGGGAAAAGGGTGAGTTGAGGGGCTGTGAGGACACAGCACATCATGGCTCCCACGTGACTCCCGTCCCAGGGGCAAGATCAACCCGTTGGGACACCCAACCAGAGCAAGGGGTGGGATGAAGAGGCCACAACGTGACCAGCTGTGATCTGTCCCCTAAGCTGCCTCAACAGCTGGTAGCCAGGAGAAGGTGCGGGCACCCTGAGCCAAGTGGGAAGGGCCAGGATGGAGGGCAAGGGGGTTCCCGCCTCACCTGTCGCTGCTGCAGCTGCTGCTGTTGCTCCATCTGCAGTTTTTCAGTTTCAAAAACGACAGGAAGAACCAGAATCATGAAGGAGGTGGTCCCAATCCACAGAGCTGCCCTGGAGAACAGCTGGTAGCCAGGAGAAGGTGCGGGCACCCTGAGCCAAGTGGGAAGGGCCAGGATGGAGGGCAAGGGGGTTCCCGCCTCACCTGTCGCTGCTGCAGCTGCTGCTGTTGCTCCATCTGCAGTTTTTCAGTTTCAAAAACGACAGGAAGAACCAGAATCATGAAGGAGGTGGTCCCAATCCACAGAGCTGCCCTGGAGAATCTAGGGAGGAGAAGGCACAG